CATGAGCAAAATGCTCGTATTTCCTGTGTATTCAGGATTTTCTTTCCTTTTTTCTCCATTGGCGGTCCACCTCTCATCCCTACTTTCACATTTGAGTGGAATCAACCCATCAATATAATCCTGATTCTTGCCTTTAAGGCCCCATTCATCTGAATTTACTATATTAAGATGTAAATGTAGTATTGCTTTACCTACTCACTTTATTAAGTCAACATCGCAGTCTCCTCATATAATTTAGGATGCTCGATTTAATCTTGTCCTGTCTGTCACCATCTGGATCTGCTCAGGTACTCACAGAAAAGACATATGTTTGTCAACGACAAGCTGTCCATTTTGCGGCTATTTGCGGCCAGCCATGTCAATTCAATGTTTTGATGAAACACGGTGAGTATTCTACGTAGCACTTTCGCGAGCATGGCTCACCTTTTGCGCTTCTTTTATTTTGTCACTTGTACGCGAACACTTGCCTTTACGGCAGGATAAAGCAAATTGAGCTGCTGTTTTTCCGGCGCTCATCAGTTACCTTGCCACTTTTACCCATCGGTTTACTTGATTTTCCTCAATGGTCCTGCCGCGATGGCTAGAGCACAGACGATTAGAGAACGGGTGAATGCCCTAGGACTAAGCCTTGGAGAGGAGAGGGACCCGCGAGAGAGCGCAGAGGCGGTTTAAAGGGCTGAGTTCAAGTAGTCCGTCACCCACCAACTTTTTTTTTTGAAGGGTCGCAAATAATTAATAGCTGCACGTTACTTCGAAGTCAGATAAAAATCGTGCCTATGTTGGTTGAAATAGCATTGCTTTGGATGCATAAAATGTTTACTTTTCAGGAACACCATGCAATGAGTTTGATAGATCGAAACAGGCTCCCATACACTACCTCGTCGAACGAAACAATGTTCTTATGGTCAGTGATTTACAGTTTCCAATTTTTTTTTGATAGTATTTAGCAATGATTTGGAGAATGTTAACTTGTGTGGACGATAGGCCGTATTCACGCTAATTTTGTGTTGATGATTTTTAACACCGATGCCACCTATGGTAACCCGGCTGTCCAAAAGATATTCTTTCCTTTCTTTGTACCGCTAACTTTCTACAACTATCTAGGCACATTCGAATTTTACCTCAATTTACACATATTCCATGACCCAGATGACTATATTGGCACGACTATTGTGCATGTGTTCTCATCTTATCACCCTTTATCTTGTGTCTCGGTAAGTTTTTCTGCATTGCATAATAATAATTTTTGCAAGGTTCGACAGCTCATGTGGTATGGCTCAGACATGTCATTGGTGGAACCGTCTGTATCAAAAGTCCCATCGGAATTGTTCAATGTTTTTTTTTAGGTTTCAATGTAGATAATGGCGAGGTTGGAATTTTCGCTGTTCTCCAATATGTTAACATTTTGAAATTTCTGCATGATTTACGTCTTCATTGATCGTGGTGACTGGTTTTCATTTCGTGTGCTTTGTTTTCCGTTTTATAAAATATAGGGTGCTTTTGATTTTATTTTTGGGAAATTTAGTTACCATCAATTCAAGTCGTATAAAACAGTTACATTGAGGAGATCAGTTCCGTATTTTTTAATTTTGTGATCTGTCATTTAGTGCGTCCGTTTATCCGTTTACTTAACAATGCTTTAAGGAATTGTGATTGTTTTTCATAGTAATTCGATTTCTATATTTTCTTATATGGGATTTCCATTCATTAGGAAGCGTCCGGGAAGAAATTGTTCCATGATCTAATTTCTATTTTTTTTCTAATTTTTGCCAAATACACTCAATAAGAAGTTGTAGGTTATTTTTTGAACACACTTTTTTATATTTTAGGTATGCACATTCTTGCAAACGCGAATGAAAGCTCTAGAACGAATAATGGCGACCTGGCTCAAGGCGATTTGTGCAGGTTTGTGTTCTGAATTGTGTTCTCTGTACCGTTTTAGTTATATGCCTCGATTTTCAAAAGTTAGCAGGTTTCTGTTTTCGCAAAAAATCAAAAAGTTGGCAAGCAAAAGCTTTTAAAATATCAGGTCGAGCAAAAATTATTTGCTGTTTGCCATTTCAGTCATGAAGTTCATCGGCAAAACCAAGCAAAAACAACAATTACTGCGTAATCAACAAACGCTCGATGAGTCCTCTCTGCAGCCGTGCCTTCATCCCAGGCTTCATGATTCTACGAGCAGATGCAGAAGCATTCGGTTTCGAGCTCAACTTGCACTCATGTAGCAGGGGCAATCTTTTTTGCTAGTGTGTAAGCTCCATAGTGAAGTAAATACACAAGTGTTGTACATCAAAATGTACAAGAGATTACGCGCTTTCAGACTCCATCATAATCTACGGAAATCGAGGAGCCATAAGCCTGAAAAAATGGCGATTAATTTTTGCTCAACCTAATAATTGGAAAGTGGAGTAGTCGTGTGCTGTGTGGCCTCTCATTTTTGGTCGCAGACTGTTTTGTTTGAATCATTTCTGACTTTGTGCTCATTATGGCTCCGATGAATCTTCTTCCTAGTACGCTGTCGTGTTGTGTTGTCCTTTTTGTAATAGAAGCGAACACATCTTGTACCAGTTTCTTTTAGCTTTGTTCTCTATTTTATCACATTCATCAATATTTCCGCTGTTTAATTTAGGCAAGCTTCAACTTGGTTGCGCTGCAAGCTCGCTTCATTGTATTCGCTTCCTTCCACCAGGCGGACCAGGCAGTGGAATAGATCAATCGAACGATGATGTAACATTTAGTTTTTACACTTAATTCCGATATTTAGTAATGCCTTCAGTCGAGTTTCAATTCACTTCTTGATGTTTACATTTGTATTTTATTTGTTTTCTTTTAAGCGGAAATTGCTATTGGGTTTGCGACCTGACGTTATCAGTGAAATAAGTAATGAAGGCGATAGTTTGGTGAGCGACCGTTTAATATGCTAAGTATGCTCCGCGATTTTGATATAAAAGTATTTTAGGTTGTTTTTATGTTGCCAGTGGCATTTACACCGCAAGATGCTTTGATGCCGGCAGCGTATCCTCATATTGTGCGAATGGAATTGTTTGAAGCGACATTTGAACCATACAAGCAGGCTCTCTCTTTGATGAAAGCGCCGACGTTAGTCTCTTCGCTTTGCTTTCCACTTTTTATTATCTCAATTTTGCTTATTCGGTTAGTTTTG